AAAGTTGGTTATGAGCAATGTAGTTCAAATCGCGTTTTAAAACTTAAAAACGTACAATTTTACGCTTCTAGATCACAAAAACGTTTCTATGTAGAAACTCGCTTTTGACTAGTAAGAGTGATTAGTATATACAATATAAATTATTGGATCAATGCACCATATGGATCATTTAGTTATTTTTATGATTTTAATGGATGCATCGTCTAAATGGTCACTCCACTTGCAACTTGAAGTTTGCAAGATTGGTTGCACAATTGATTCACTTACGGACATATATGAACGAATGTTCAATATGAAGAAAATACTTCTCGATGATTATTGGTGGGTTTAAATCTTATATTATTGGTTTCAATATCAAACGTCATGTAGCACATGCTTGTGCATAAGCATGTGAAACAACTTATTGAAGACATGCCAGTTGCAAGTAGCAAAATCGATTTTCCATCATGCCAAGAAGTTGTCACTACTAAACCCCTGTACAAATTGGATTTGATTAGAAACCTTAAAATTCCCATCAAAGACTTTATGATGGATTATATGTTGTAAATTGTTGTTGTAGTTGCTGCTGGTTCAGTTGTTGTAGTTTCCCCTCCAGAGTCTAGGACAAATAATCACACAGATGAACAACAACAATTAGGCACAATGCATGTTTCCGTTTACTAAAAATGAAGAACTCAGAAACTTTGATGGCTTACCTCTATCCTGACTTGTTTTGCAACCACCACCCAATTGAGTAATGCACATAGAAAGGATTTTCATAATCAAAATCAAACTGCTTATCCATGTAACCAGAGAGCAAAAGGAAGATGATAACAACAAACAACATGCCCATACCTTTCCAATTTTTCCAACATTTCTCTTTCCCTTTTCAGTTGCTTCTGAGCTTGCTGCAAGTTCTGAACACAAATGTGATTCAATGTGTCACTCTAACACTAACACTATATGTGCTTGTACACGGGAAAAAAAAAGAGTAGTAAATTACAGCCTGATTTGTGGATACACGGCCTCTGCGGAGTTCATTAGATTGCTCAATGTATCGAAGAAAGATATCTTCAATCCTAGCAATGTACCATCCATACCAAAAAAGACTGCTAAAAAAAAAGAAGAAACGGAAAAAAAGAGTAAATGTAGGAAGGATCCCATGGCACATAGAACAGATAGCTCTGTGGCTTTCTTCACAATAGCATCCGTGCGCTTAGGCTATGTTACTTTTAAACCAAGAGATGTAGAATTGCTCTTCTTCATCGGGAAGATGGAAAACAAGAACCAACTAGATGGAAGGAGGAAGTAGAATTGTTGCCTTTTAGGAAGTTGGGGGTACATGACAATTGACTAGGATTCATTATAACAATGTGATCTTGATAGTTATTGCAACTTTTGACTTTTGAGTTGATTTGGAGTTAAAGCTTTTATGGCTTCAAAGAGTCAACATAACAAATGGCAGAGAGTGCAGGACTGCAGAGGTTCTTCTTTTTCTTGTGTCTGCTTACACCTAGATTTTGTTGAAGTTAATGAAGAACACTTGTCACTGACTAGAAAGTTGATCCATGAGAGCAATAGTACTAATGGTGATTAGGTCGTGGATTAAGAAGCTCTTTCATAGCATCAAATTCTCTTAATGAAACAAAATGTACTTGATAGTAGGTACCGCAAATTCCATATACAGCACCGCAAGTATCTCAGTTTTAAAATGTCTACAATTAACGTGATTACTATATTTTGGTAGCAGTGGGGATGTAGCTCAGATGGTAGAGCGCTCGCTTAGCATGCGAGAGGTACGGGGATCGATACCCTGCATCTCAACTTTTTCCGTTGCTAATTTTCTGCTGGGGGTAATTGCGTAGAAGGAAACATGTTCGATAGAATGCCTCTTAGAGATTTGACTCCTTGGAATAGATTGATATCAGGTTACATAAAGAACTGCCGAAGCTTTCACGGCATTTTTCTTGGTTCTTCTTGTATTGAGCTATTGTTATTGAAGCAGGGGGAAACATATACATGCGCTTCTGTTACGAGAAATGGGTATGTTGTTCATAATACCGTCTTGGTCAACTCACTGATTGAATTGTATTGTTTGTAAGTGAAACTTCATGGATTATGCAATAAAGTTATTAGCCGGAGACAAATCCCATGAGCATAGTGATGAATTTCAGGCCAAGCTATTAGAACTGCGCCGGCAGCTGAACGAAGCTAGATACAAGCCTGATACGAGTTCTGTTTTGTGCTACCAATTGTTGTACGTACGTAGTGGGGTTCAAATTGCGTTGAGGGAGCTCCAGGGCAGGAAGACTTCTCTTTGTTGTGGAAGAGAGCTATAGGAAGAGATGTGTTAGTGTATGAACTTAGGATCAGATCCGTACAATAAGATTGGCTTTCCTGTTTAAAGGAATCGAAAGGAAGTCAACGTTGACGATAAAGTTCTTATATTTGTTACGCGCAATATGATATTAATGAGAATCATGAAGTTAGATCTATCGATCAGTATACTCAAATGATTGGCCAAGTTGTAACAATGCATGTGAGGCAGCTATGAACTAGCCTACAAAACATACCCACATACGTGTATGTAATGCCAGTAAAACACGCACGATGTTTTATGAAGACATGACAAATGGGGAGAGATTAAGAGATATCATGCTCGAATTGTCATAAGGGTCTTCGTCAAATTATTTGCCATTGATTGTGAGGAGACGTACGCAGTCACGCTTATTTGTGGGATATGATTTTTGGCAGTGTGAGAAAGTTATATATGCATCCAGTGAATGATATTACAGGTGCACTTATAAAGCATGCTTGATGATGATATAAATATACAACTTGATGAAGGATTTAGTTTGCTCAAAGCAAATATGTTAATGTTCTACGGAACATTATTCAACTCAATAAACCTCCTAAATCAAATCGAAAGAGAATCGACAAAATGTCAGTCTCGATAAAGAAAGGAAGAATATGTCTAGAAAGACGAATGCATTTACCTAGAATACCTTACAATGATTGTTTTATATGTTCTGACAAAGAATCATTGGTTGAAGGTTCTTCATGACATACAAATGTCTATGCATATGAAAAATAATAATCTCAAGTTGAGATGAAATACGTATGCTACATTGAAACTCTGGAAGAGTGTTCAAAGGTAGAAAGTCGTAGAGAGACATTAAATGGGTTAAACTCTAGAAGAGTATTTATAAGTTATTGAATAACTTGAAAGAACTAGACTTCCCTTCAATTTTGCATATTTGCAAAAGAAATTTATGTGCATCAAGAAATATATAAAGATGTCCATATGATAAGAACGAGTAAACTATCCATCAAACATAATGATGATTCAGATTACTATGAGAGTAATGATTTATTTGATAAAGTTATCCATTATTGACATAGACTATATAAAGGCAAACCTGGTGAAGGAGAAGATACACCAAAAGAAGCAACTACCTCCCTTTCTATGTATATGTTTTTCCTAGTACTCGGTGCAATGTGTGGTTGAGAGTAAGAAATAAAACCAGTATTACTTCTCTTCTATTTCGTATTAATGGTGTTGCTTATTCCCACGATGGGATAATTGTTCATAACACAAGTATCTATATTCTGAGGGCTCATTATTGATGAGAAATAAATAATTTAATCAAGCATCAACGGAATGCAAGAAGTAATTTTCCCCCAAGGTAGGATCGAAAAGTTGCAAAATAAAAAAATCCGAATTAAGCTTTCACCAGCACGGCTCGAATTGGAATTACATGACTCCAATTGGAGTGGTAAATTGATAATTAGAGATGGAAAATCCCCAGCTAATATATTTGGATTGTCAAACTCTTTTGTTGGGGATTTTTGCTGAGTTGGTATTTAGATTCCACTTCTTCTGCTTTGTCAGGAATTCAAGGCTCAAATGTGGTCCACTTGTTCCTCCATTTTGGTTTCTCTCTATAACTTCATTCCTAAATTTCAAAAACAAAAATTCATAAGGGTGTGTTTGGATAGAATGATTTGAATTTGGTATTTGTGATTTGGATTTGGATTTCTAAATGTCAAATTATGTGTTTGGATATTAATTACATTTGGTATTTGGATTTGTGCCAAATTCATGGGGTGATTTCCAAATACATGTCTAGTGTATTACTTGTCAACTTCAAATACATTTCAATAACATTTTAAATACCTTCTAACAAAAGATTGGACATATTTGTAAAATATTAAAAGTTCAGGTACTATAGTGTAAGGAAAAACATATAAAGGTACCAAAATGTAATTTTACCATCAAAATTTCTGGAACTATTGTAAAATTTTGAAAGTTCAGATTCTAAATTGTAAGGAAAAATAATTTTGAGTACCAAATTGTAATTTAGCAAACTTTGTAGTAAGTGACCAGAAAATTCAAAATTAAAATACAAAATAATGAAATTTAAAATATAAAAAATTAAAATTGAGTATCCAAACAACGAATTTGAATTACATGCATTTCAAATGCATTCATTTTAAAAACATGTATTTCAAATATCATACATTTGAAATACATCTATCCAAACGCACCCTAAATTTCTTTCCCAAATTGCATGTTTAGCATATCATTAGCTTCAAGTGTAAAATAATCACCTGTTCTTTTCATAATTCATATATTCTCCCCATGTTAGCAAATCCTCAAACTCTTCACTATCTACATCAGCGACCTATATTAACACCAAAAAAGGGCAAACATTAGAAACAACTAAAATGAACATGTGTTAAAGATACACACTTGCACAATAAGTTTCATCAATCTTCATGTTCTTCTTCTCACTAGCCAACCCATCATATCCGAGTTCTTACGTACCTCGATGCTCTCTAGGTTCTGCGACTGTTCCTCCTCCATGTTGATCATCTTTGCCTACTCTCAACAAAATTAGCAGAATCTAGAAGGGTTAAATAGTGAAACGAGAAAGAAATTAATCCATATAATAAGCCTCCCACGATGTACTTGCCTTAAGATGTTCAACATTGTGAATTGCTTTAGTGAGGAATTGCCGATGTAGTAAGGCCTCACTGGTTGAACTCACCTTATGCATTTCATAATTGTAACACCTGAGCTTGCAAAATCACCAACCACATTCTTTTTTCCATTAGGAAGTTACAAGATAACAAGAAGAGATGACGAAACAAAAACACTTCTGCTACTAATACTACTAACTTCATCTTGTCTTGCTTTTCCCGCTGCTGCTGGTTGAGTTGTTGTAGTTTCCCCTCCAGAGTCTAGGGTAAATAATCACACAGATGAACAAAAACAATTAGGCCCAATGCATGTTTCCATTTACTAAAAATGAAGAACTCAGAACCTTTGATGGCTTACCTCTATCCTGACTTGTTTTGCAAACACCACCCAATTGAGTAATGCACATAGAAAGGATTTTCATAATCAAAATCAAACTGCTTATCCATGTAACCAGAGAGCAAAAGCAAGAAGATAACAACAAACAACAGGCCCATACCTTTCCAGTTTTTCCAACATTTCTCTTTCCCTTTTCAGTTGCTTCAGAGCTTGGTGCAAGTTCTGAACACAAATGTGATTCAATGTGTCACTCTAACACTAACACTATATGTGCTTGTACACGGGAAAAAAAAGAGTAGTAAATTACAGCCTGATTTGTGGATACACAGCCTCTGCGGAGTTCATTAGATTGCTCGATGTATCGAAGAAAGATATCTTCAATCCTAGCAATGTATCATCCAACACCAAAAAAGAGTGTGACAAAAAAAAAAGAAACAAAAAAAGAGTAAATGCAGGAAGGATCCCATGGCAACACAAACCTTCCGTGGGTAGCAAAGCTAGTCAATTTTCCCTTGGGGGAGAACAAAATGAGACTAACATCTGTGCCACATAGAACAGATAGCTCTGTGGCTTTCTTCACGATCGCATCTCTACGCTTAGGGTATGTTACTTTTAAACCAAGAGATGTAGAATTGCTCTTCTTCATCGGGAAGATGGAAAACAAGAACCAACTAGATGGAAGGAGGAAGTAGAATTGTTGCCTTTTAGGAGGTTGGGGGTACATGACAATTGACTAGGATTCATTATAACAATGTGATCTTGATAGTTATTGCAACTTTTGACTTTTGAGTTGATTTGGAGTTAAAGCTTTTATGGCTTCAAAGAGTCAACATAACAAATGGCAGAGAGTGCAGGACTGCAGAGGTTCTTCTTTTTCTTGTGTCTACTTACACCTAGATTTTGTTGAAGTTAATGAAGAACACTTGTCACTGACTAGAAAGTTGATCCATGGGAGCAATAGTACTAATGGTGGTTAGGTAGTGGATTAAGAAGCTTTTTCATAGCATCAAATTCTCTTAATGAAACAAAATGTGCTTGATAGTAGGTACCGCAAATTCCATATACGGCACCGCAAGTATCTCAGTTTTAAAATGTCTACAATTAACGTGATTACTATATTTTGACAGTAGTGGGGATGTAGCTCAGATTGTAGAGCGCTCGCTTAGCATGTGATAGGTACGGGGATCGATACCTTGCATCTCCATTTTTCCTCAATTTTTTGCTGGGGGTAATTGGGTAGAAAGAAACGTGTTCGACAGAATGCCTCTGAAGCTTTCACCGCATTTTGCTCACAATACCGTCTTGGTCAACTCACTGATTGAATTGTATTGTTTGTAAGTGAAACTTCATTGAGTAGAGTGATGAATTTCAGGCCAAGCTATTGGAAATGCGCCGGCAGCTGAACGAAGCAAGATACAAGCCTGATACGAGTTCTGTTTTGTGCTACCAATTGTTGTACGTACGTAATGGGGTTCAAATTGCGTTGAGGGAGCTCCAGGGCAGGAAGACTTCTGTTTGTTGTTGAAGAGAGCTCTAGGAAGAGATGTGTTAGTGTATGAACTTGGGATCAGATACGTACAATAAGACTTGCTTTCCTGTTTAACACCAAATAGGACTCAATTTTATATTTCATTTCTTTTTTCCTGTCTCGGTATCTGTCCTGAGTGCTCTTCAAAAACTTAGATTAGATGACTAGCTTAGCTTCGTGGTTGTCATGTTGGTTTCATGGCTCACACCAGTTGAACCAGGTCATGAAACCGGCATAAACATCATCGGTATAACTGGCATGATAGAATTACGAATTCTAAGTAAAATGACATTGTTTTAATAAATTTGATTAATAAAAGATAAATTTATTATATATTTTATGAATATAAAAATTAAATTTTGATGTAATTTGTTGGATTCGAGTATAAACATTTAGATATTGACGTTAAATATTATATTTAAATATGAGAATATGTTATTTTATTTGGAATGCCATATTTTATTAAACTGTCATGAACCGAGACAAACAGGTTATATACTAGAATAGTAGAAATCACTACGAAGTTAGTAAGTTACACTTGGTAAAAGAAAAAAACTATGAAGTTACACATCTTCCAACTAAGTATTATTACTAAGTGTAACTTTATGTGGATCAAGTAGAAGGAAAAAAAAAACAACTATGCTAATGTATTGGTGTTTGCAAAGAAGTACAAGTTCACTTTGTACCATAAAATAAAGTACAAATTCAGTTTGTACCATAAGATTATTTGTATGATCAAACAAATTCAGTTTGTACGATAAGATAATTATTGTACCTTTTTATATTATGAGACAAATTCGGTTTGTATCAACACAAAAATACAAATTCAGTTTGTAACATAAATAAATTTATATATAGATACAGCTATAACATTAAGCGTACAAGTTCAATAAAAAGAAATTTAAAAACCAAAATTTCAATACTATAAAGTATTATAAAATTCCTCATTCAATACATATATTAACAAAGTGAAGAGGCATAGAATTCAATATTACTTATTATTTATAGTTGTTTGATGGAATATTATTTCTACGTCGATGTTGTTTTAACTGTTTGAAAGAGGTGTTTTCTTTCAAGGTGACTTCCTTTGGCCCTCGATATGTATATAATATAATATAATACCGCCATCAGGGGCGGAGCTAGGTGGAGCCTCGGAGGGGCCCCGGCCCCCCCGAGAATTTTGAAACTACGTACAAAATCTCTTCGTATTGTGAAAAATTACGTATAAAATAGATGTTAGAATATTAATTGTGTGCGCAATAATCTGACAAGAAACTAAGGTTCGGACGAGTGGTAGAAGAGTCGATCTTTTAGATTGAGTACATGGGTTCGAATCTTGCCTATAGCGAATTAGTGCCCATTTTTGCCATTTTCAAGTTGTGAGCATTCTCACCTAAACTACAGCAAATTAAGTGTTATTTTGCTATTTCCATATTGAAATAAGCCAATAAATTGTTTGAAAATGATAAAAATGAGCTACATATTGAAATACATGATTAATGTTTTTCGTAATTTAATAATTTGTTTTGACCATATCACATGGTAAATAATTATCTCAATTCTTGTTTTGTTATGATAATAAAAATTCTATAAACTTTTTTTGTCATGGTAAACTAAACAACTTCGGCCCCCCGAGATTCAAATCCTAGCTCCGCCCCTGACCGCCATGTCCGATTCTGATCCAATCTCCGCTTTCCTCTCGGACTAGACTCTCCCCTTCTATATAATACAGGGCAGAAGAAGATTGAGGTAGAACGATTGTCATCAAACAAAACAAAATCACTCTCTCTCTCTCTCTCTCTCTTAACCTAAAGTCCCGATTAACTCAACCATGTCCACAACGAGGAAACTGATCACGTTGAAGAGCAGCGACGGCGAGTCGTTCGAAGTCGACGAGGCCGTGGCGATGCAGTCGCTCACGATCAAGCACATGCTCATCGAAGGCCACGTCGACATTGACGGCGCCATCCCGCTGCCCCACGTCACGAGCAAGATCCTGGCGAAGGTGATCGACTACTGTCAGAAGGAGCTCTACTCGTCTTCTTCCACGGCCGAGGCCGATGCCGATGCCGGCGGCGGCGACGAAGATGTGATGAAAGCGTGGGAGATGAGCGATTTGGCCGGAGTCGGGGAGGACACGCTGTGGGACCTACTTCTGGCGGCGAACTACTTGGAGATCGAGGGGCTGTTGGATCTAGCGTACGAGGCTGTGGAGGAGATGGTGAAGGGAAGGATCGATCCGGAGATAAGGATGGTTCTCAACCTGCGGGAGGACCATCGTTGCTGGCACAAACCCTGGGCATGCATATGAATGGATGATCAAGATATAGGTATAGCCACCGGTTCTAGCTACTTATGTTTTCGTGGGAACTAGAACAGAACGGAGTATATATATATATGTAGTAGAACGTAGGTTGCGTGCATGCACGTCTCTGTTTCAGTTTCTCCTTTTAATTCTTTGATACATATATGAATTAGTGCATATATGTGGTACTTTTATGTAACATCCAATATCTCTTTGATCAAATCCAATCCCTTTTCTGCTCAATATATTATCTGTTTGAGATCTATCTCTGCACGTTTTTTTTTTTTTTTTTGTTGTTGTTGTGCATTATAGTGAATTCTTGAGAAGTCAATTATTTGTATAGTAAGCACGTTTAATTTTGAATATCTTACAAGAATTTTTCCGAATCATTCCAAAATGTGTTTTGTCACTTAAGAGTGGATGGTTCCCTAATGAATTATGGATATATATCCTATGTTTTGTCGACGTGAGAATTATCTAAAGTGTTACGTAAGTCGTATTGGGACCCAAAGACGTGAAGAAGATATAATACCATTTGTATCATCCTAACCTTCTTTCTGACTAAGATATTGTTTGTATTGGGTCTATTCCACACGATTTCTCTTTTAAAGTGCATCATGATGACTTCTTGAGAGGTCATCCTTCTCTAAATTGCTCCACACAAGTACGTTTAACTTCATAATTTTTATGAGAACTCTTCAATTGCACATTAAAACACATCTTCTCAGAAAATTTTGAATGGTTACTTATAAATCATGAATCTTTCACATTCGATGGCAATATTTTGTTAAATTCATCGCCTAATTTGCGCAGGCAATCGCTTGGCTTTGCGCTCCATAATTTGCCCTGGCGCGGAAACCAGCTTAGCGATGAATTCAAATTGTCAACGTCGTCCATAAAATATAATAACAAATATAAAATTATTTTTAAATAATATAAAATTTAACTCATAAAATCCACAATGTCATGTTTACAACAAACCACAACGAAATTTCATATACTGAAGAGCATTCTTGATTATCATTATATCTAAAAGGTCCTTTTGCATCAAATTGAGTTTATCAAAAGTATCAAATGAGTTAGCTGGACCAAAACAAGAAATGCAGTCCAACAATCGAGTATTCACCTTACCAAAATTAGACCACAATATACCACAAATCTATTCAATCACCCATCAATTACAATTTGACAAGTAAAATTGAAAGAAAATATAAAAGAAGAAAGAGTTAATACCCTAGTTTGGCCAAAAGTTTAGCGTAAGTGACAGTTTTGGCCCCATTTTTCATATAAGACATTTATGACCCACATTTGAAATTATTGGAGAGATTTGACCTCAAAATTGTGTTAACTGTTAATATTGACGGTCAAACACTATTTCGTTAGTGACTTAGAAAAAAACAGCTATGTGGCATGCCACTTCATTAAATAATATTGTTTTAATTTTATAATTCAAATAAAATAAAAATAAAAATTAACAAAGAAATCCCTCTTACCCAAAATCCC